ATTCATAATTCTTATATCGAGGACATTTTCCCAAGTCTGTCTCCCAGTCTCTGAACCATGCTATTTTCCCATCTGCACAGACCCTACTGTAATGCTCTGGCTCTTAATGAAGTAAGGACAAATTTTCTACAGGTTCAAAAAATCGGTAAGATAACAGACGGAGTTGACATGATGTAGGTAATTAAGGACATAATTTTGAGATTGAGAAAATCAATCAAACCCATTACGACCAAAACAGATTCCATTTGATGATAATATCAGTTCCACGTCCACGTGTCAATACTCACTCATGATATGCATCGCAGTACTTGTATTATTGACGTGTATCTTCCATAAGTGACAGGGGAATACATGGTGATTATTCTTTGGATTTGGATTCCTGGCATTCGTTAAGGACGAGATGTCCGAATCGACTCACTAATTTCATTTTTGCATCCATCAAAATATAGGAATCTGTTGAAGTGTGTCGATGTTAATCTCAGTAGTAGTGAGACTACATCACGTGGAAGGTGAGGTGAGGTGAGATTAGGTGAGGTGAGGTGAAATTGGGTTTAACGTCGTGCTTGAGAAAATTTCGCTCATATGACGACGTGCATGTGTGTGTATGTGTATGTTCGGCTGCTTGTACTAGCCCAGACTAAAGCTGGTTTTATAGTGCTAGCCCCATGCCACAGAGAAGCATGAATACCCCACTCAGACACATTATACTGACTCTGAGCCAACCCGTCCTTGTTGTACCCATTAATGCCCCGCCAGGTAGGGACCAACAAGTACCATATTTTAACGTCTTTTTTTGTATGACGCGGTCGGGGATCGAACTCGAGACCTTCCGCTCTCCGGGCGGACGCTCTAACCACTACACAACGGAGGCGGTCACGTGGAAGGAGCATGCTTGTGAGAATAACTTGTTTTATGATGCTGCTTAGCAAGATCAATCTGCGTGTCTTCATGTTAACGGAAGCGGCAAACCGCTTTCCTTATTATAAGAAATCTCTGCCAATATCAGCGTCGACTGTACGATTCTGTCTGCATCATCACCATGTTTATGAATCACTATCAGTTAGGGATGACACCAGGTGTTCCCCAAATATGAGGGTAGCCCTACTAGCCTCCCTACAAATGACACCCGGATGCGAGCTCAAATCCATGCAAAGGCAAGCCAATTGTTCACCTGACAAGAAATTAACAACACGCGAACAAGCAAAAATAGGAAATTGCATCGGACATCAATGTCCTCCCATGTCTACCATAACAAATTTTGACATTTTAACTGAGTAATTTAATATTTTAACCTTGATCAAACAACTTCCGAGCAAGAGTCGTATGCCGACGAACTTTGAAATCTCCCTAGAAAAAATTAGAAAAAGTAGAAACCAAAGGATGGGGCCGCAGGTCTCGCCATAAAGGGAATATTGACAATAAGCCAGTTGAAGTCATCCCGCGCCATACAGTTGGAGATTTACTGGTCTCCATATTTCTTGTTCTGATGGCACGTGAAGATCCGGGTCAGAACTGATCTTCAGTAACCCATGCTTGTCATAAGAGGCGACTAACGGGATCGGGTGGTCAGGCTCGCTGACTTGATTGACACATGTTATCGTATCCCAACTGTGTAGATCGATGTTCATGATGTCGATCACTGGATTGTCTGGTCCAGACTCGATTGTCCATAGACCACCGCCACATAGCTGGACTTGCGAAGTGCGGCGTTAAACATCAAACCAAAAATATCTTGTTCTGGTGGGTAATTCAACAGAAGGGGGGTTGATATTTGATGGTAATTGAACGATATCAATTGATCGATAATACCTGAAGCTTAAGTAAATCCTCTTTGCCGAAATACCTTGTTCTACCAATCCCACGTTGCAATCTTTGCGTTGAACGTTTATCCAACAAACATAAACGCGGGCGTCAATATGAAGAACACTTTCCTTGCCAGAATATAACCAGGGCTGAGTCAATAACTGCACTCTGTGAAGCACATAATACACGAGCAGTGATACGTCACGATTATGTGCATTTGTCCGCCAATCACCTGCGATCCATATCATTGTGAACCTTTTAACATCATTTTCTGTCATGTCATGGTATTACTGTTCATAATATAACTGTTCATGATACAACTGTTTATAATATAACTGTTCATAGACCCGTCATATATAACTGTTCAATGTGCGATAACTGTTCATGATATAACTGTTGGAATACTGCTCATGATATAACTGTTCATAATATAACTGTTCATGATATAACTGTTAATGATATAACTGTTCATAATATAACTGTTCATGATATAACTGTTCATGATATAACTGTTCATGATATAACTGTTCATATATAACTGTTCATGATATAACTGTTCATATATAACTGTTCATTTATAACTGTTCGTGATATAACTGTTCATATATAACTGTTCGTGATATAACTGTTCATGATATAACTTTTCATAATAAAACTGTTCATAATATAACTGTTCATAATAAAACTGTTCATGATATAACTGTTCATGATATAACTGTTCATGATATAACTGTTCATAATATAACTGTTCATAATATAACTGTTCATATATAACTGTTCATGATATAACTGTTCATAATATAACTGTTCATATATAACTGTTCATGATATAACTGTTCATAATATAACTGTTCATAATATAACTGTTCATATATAACTGTTCATGATATAACTGTTCATAATATAACTGTTCATATATAACTGTTCATGATATAACTGTTCATGATATAACTGTTCATGATATAACTGTTCATAATATAACTGATATATATAATAACTGTTCATGATATAACTTGTTCATAATATAACTGTTCATGATATAACTGTTCAGCTCTTGATATAACTGTTCATAATATAACTGTTCATATATAACTGTTCGTGATATAACTGTTCATGATATAACTGTTCATGATGTAACTGTTCATATATAACTGTTCATGATATAACTGTTCATATATAACTGTTCGTGATATAACTGTTCATGATATAACTGTTCATGATATAACTTTTCATAATAAAACTGTTCATGATATAACTGTTCATGATATAACGTTTCATAATAAAACTGTTCATAATATAACTGTTCATAATAAAACTGTTCATAATATAACTGTTCATGATATAACTGTTCATAATATAACTGTTCATGATATAACTGTTCATGATATAACTTTTCATAATAAAACTGTTCATAATATGACTGTTCAAGATATACTATTTATAATAAAACTGTACATTATAAAAATGTTCATGATATAACTGGATAAAAAGGCAACGAAAGCCATTGTACGATGCCGACACTATGATAAGCGCGTGTTCACGAACCCATATCAAATACTGTGGGTCGTCACAAACACGTGCAAAGGCAAGTCAGTTGTTCATCAGAAATAACGATGGTACATACAGTGGCCACACTGCTGGCACCTGTAACAAACACACGCGCAGGCCATCGTGGAATTAAGACATACCTGAGTAATGATGAGAAAAAGGAGAAACTACGATAAATTAACAAAATAATTCAGCGTTCGAAATATCTGCCTGCCCGACGACTTATTTTCAACACGGACTGCCAGATTCTCCAATTCTGTGGTTAAAATGTAGACATGTATATGAAGATATTTTGTGAGCAGGTAAGTTTTGGTCAGGGCTGGCAAGTTTTACATTTAACCATCCCTATGGTCTGGCTGAAATCTTTGGAGTTTCATACCCTGAAATAATGAATGCTAAATCTGTACTTGAGAAAGTGTTTTGGCTAAATTTGGCAGCATAATATATCACCACTTGACACAGCAGACCGCGCTCAAACGCTGTTAATAGATCTTATTAATTACTGGCGGTCAAGAAATCGCGCCATTTAGTTCAGCGCCATTAAACGATTGATCCCATTTTCATCAGCAACAAAGAGACACAGCCAACCTTTGTGTGGCGGAAGGTGCCAGGGAGACACTTCCGGTAGGTGAAGGTCATCGGAACCCCACTTTGAAGTTGAGGGCGGTGTATCGACGTATTGGATTTTTGTTTGTTTGTGTTTGTTGTTAGACGCCAGACGCAGCAATATTCCAGCTGTAGCTCTGCGGTGTGTGTTTTGATTACTCTGGACTGGACAATCCAGTGATTTAGATGGAATATTGCCGACACTGTGGATGACAATGGCCGAAATCAATTTACCAATAACTCCCCTCCAGACTTAAACAACAAAACCTACTTTTCAAAATTATATTAAAATTGTATTGAAATAAATATATGACTCCCAGTCGACCACACAATCCAATCATGTGAATTCTGTATAATGGTGTTTCACACCGTGATGATGTCCCTAAGAACACAGAATTAATTCAGTAAAGGTATTGGAAAATAACATCATCATCAACAACTGTAAACTGCGTAACCCTGCACCCCCTCTGGATCCGCATATGCTATTCTTCGCGTGGACGGGAGGGTTTCGGGTCACCTTTTTTAATTTTTGACAAACACATATGCGTGCCATGAACGGCCTGGAAAGGTTTTGATAAGCACTTTCGTGATTGTTTGGTCAAATCTTCCTTTCAAGCTAATGCTTTCTTTTGCCCGACATTTTATTGGGGAGATATACGAAACGTTTTAAGAAACCCTCAGCGTGTTTGTCAGACACACTTGCACTGTAATGAACATTGTTGTCAACAAACTCAGCAAATGAAATACTATTCGATCCCAGGGAATATAAAAATACTGAACACTGTACATCATTAATGCTGGTTGCACCACCATCCCCAACCCCCACTGCCCATCAACACAAATCTGTAACGTCCGGAACTAATTCGGTCCGAGTCTAAAGAATGAATTTGTCTTGAAGCAGCGACAGGAATAGAACTTGAAGCGTCAGGTCCTCGTCGCTCTCTTCACTTCAGGCTGCTTCAAGCCAGTTACCTCCCTTAGATCAGCTCATCCCATTTTCTACTGTGAGATGTCCACTCTTCTGGTTTAGTTGTAGGAAGTTACGGAATGAGCCGTGTGCAAAAAACGTCAGCTGACAGTGTTGGATCAAATAGTGTGTGTGTGTCTTCTGCATTCATCAATCGTGACGTTTGCTCCCACTGAATACATATTTTCCGGTACCGACTGTCAATAAGCTGTTTGGATATCAGGTAGGAAGACATAATCCCGAATAGATATTAGTCTTGTGTTTCAGACAGATCAGGGCACTCTCGTGATTCTGATAATAATTATTACGATATATATACCGGAAGTGATATACTTTCTCGTTAGATTACAAATACAGGTTACAGGCTGAAGCGATTTGGTGTATATATGTCTTCAAAAGGAAGACATCCCTATGCTCTGTTGAAGCTGATAAATGCGCTATTTCATTAAAAAAAATCCCAACAAACTGTCTAATCGTTGACAAGGGGGGCGTGTCAACAAGCTCCTAACAGCGATAGCCCGTTCGCGAAGCTCTCAAATCAGACGGCGTCACAGCTCCCTACTGTGCTAGTCGGCAACAACCATGAGTTGAGCTCGCAACCGTCATGCTCACAAATTAGTCAGGGCCCCAGATAAGGGCCGTATCGGCGTATGTACGGATATAAAATATGCACGATACGGTAGGAAATAATTTAGAAAACGTAGCAGATACGCACCACAGCAATGCTGCACGGTCATAGAATCATTTACAGACGTATTTTTCTGAAAAAATATTGTTTTATTGTTTATTGACCTTTTACACAAGAGTAGCAAGTTGTGGTGCATATATGAAACGAAACACAAGATTACTGATCCGCCATTAAATTCCATTCAGTACTCAATATTTACTCTTAAGGTTTTCCAGTACTGCTATATTGAAAAAATAAGCAATACGTACTCCTGATGTTGAAAAATTATCTGAAGCCCTGAATTAGTGATGACTTTTGGGACGCTGAATACTCGTTTGTTGGTTGTTTAACGTCGCACTCAGCAATATTCCAACTATATGGTGGTGGTCAGTGAATAATCGAGTCTGGACCAGACGATTCAGTGACTGACATCATGCACATCGATCTCCGCGATATTGGGATACGATGGCATGTACCACCAAAGTCTGCGATCCAGGTCACCTGATACCGTTAGTCGCCTCTTGCGACAAGCATGGGTTCATGTAGACCAATTCTGACTGACTGACTGACTGACTGAGTTTGGTTTTACGCCGCTTTTAGCAATATTCCAGCAACATCACGGCGGGGGGACACCAGAAATGGGCTTCACACATTGTGCCCATGTGGGGATTCGAACCCGGGTCTTCGGCGTGACGAGCCAACGCTTTAACCACTAGGCTACCCCACCGCCCCCGACCAATTCTGAACCAGAGGTAATATAGACTTGCTTCATTTAGGGCTTCAGCATGGTAGGGAGGGCAAAGCAGTAGGGAAAATAATGTGGTTCAGGGACTGTGAGACTCTCGTCCAAGGCCCGAGGTTGATTTCCCCACATGGATACAATGTGTGAAGCCCATTTCTGGTGTCCCCAGCCGTGCAATATTGCTAATAGCGGCGTAAAACTCCAGGATAAATAGTGGAGATTTATCTGAATGTATTGGACATGTACATTGGAGATTATCGAGGATGCGTAAAACTGAACTCACTCACTCACTCTTAGTTGTTCCAGGTGAATTCGTTTCACTTGACTGAACGTCAATACAATTTCACAGATATTTTTAAGTGTAAATTATGTTAAATAAAATTTGTGCTTAACTGCCATGTCAACAATAGTATATAAAACGTCACCGGAAGTGTCTTATTCATTGTAGATGGCGACGTCACAAGCCGAGAAAGTGCGGGAATTTCTCACCTGTGTGATCTGCCAGGAACTGTACACAGACCCGTGTACACTGAGGTGTGATCACACATTCTGCAGGAAATGTGTGACGGCATACATCCAAACCAGACCAGAGGCAGTACAGGCCAAGACCATCCCCTGTGCGTTCTGTCGACAAGATACCAAGGTGCCCCACCCAAACCAACCAGTGGAGGAGTGGTCGGGTCAGATCAAACCAAGCATCATTATTCAGGGGCTGATTGACACACAAAGTGAATCTGACAAAAGAGGTATGTTTATTCCGAATACCAGGGGTGATATGTTAGCATGATGGTTAAAGCGCCTGTTCGTCTCGCTGAAGGCCCGGGTTCGATTCCCCACAATGTGTGAAGCCCATTTCTGCAGCAGCGTAAAATAATACTCGCTCACTCACTATTTGAATACACTTGTACCTTTACCTTTAAAAGTGGGGCGGTGGGGTAGCCTTGTTGCGCCGAAGGCCCGGTTCGATTACCCACATGGGTCCAATATGTGAAGCCATTTCTGGTGTCCACAGCTGTGATATTGCTGGAACATTGCTAAAAGCAGCGTAAACCATACTCACTCACTGTAGTGGTTAAAGCGCCCATTCGTCGCGCTGAAGACCCGGTTCGATTCTCTACATGGTACAATGTGTGAAGCCCTTTTCTGGTGTCCCCGTCGTGATATTACTGGAATATGGCTACAAGGGGCGTAAAATAATACTCACTCACTGTTCTGAATACACTTGTACTTTTTCCTTTAAAAGTAATTCTTGTATAAAGACAACGAATGTGTCATCTGAAACTTATGGGAGACGATTGAAACATTCAAGATACATTATTGTATTTCAGATACTGCTGAACAGCAATGCACGTTGTGTTCGGCTATAGGGGAGACAATTCCTGGAACATCCTGGTGTCAGGAGTGTGAAGTTACTCTCTGCCAAAGATGTGCCAAGATTCATCACGCAACCCCGACGTCACGTGACCATGAGGTCGCTGATCTCTCAACGGGGGTAACGTTTAAAAGAAAACGTAAGGTCATGTGCACAGAACACACAGCGGAAGCCCTCAGTCTTGTCTGCAAAGACTGTCGCAAAGCTGTGTGTCCAACATGCTGTGTGGTGTACCACAGGAAGTGTGAGTCTGTCTTTACCATAGACTCAATGAAGGCCACAATGAAGTATCACTTGACGAAAAGGAGAAATACGATGACGAAGAAAATAGAAGGAAAAGAAACAGTTGTGCAGATAACGAAGAAAAAGATCAATAGTCTTGAAGAAAAAATGGAAGTAGCTGAACTCGATGTCCAATATTCTGTTGAAAAAGCAATTGAGAAAATCAAACAAAAAGAGAAAGAACTGATGCGTGAAATCAGGGAAATCACAGACGCTGAATCTAAGGAGTTTCAGGCAGATGTAAAACGTGAGGAGATTGAGATACAGATGTACAGACAACATTGTGAGTTCATTGACCAAGCCTTGGTATCGGACTGTGAGATGGACCTGTATGACGCGTACCAGGCCTGGGAGGACTCAGGGGATGTCCGGAACACAGACTCAGCAGCAGGCACGCGGAGAGTAGGTGACGTCAAGTTTACACCAGATTTTGACAAAATCAGCCATCTTCAGCTCGGGAAGATTGACGTCACATTCGAAGATGAAGGTCAATGTTTAACCCCTCCAGTGGTGGTTGACAAGACAGACGGGAGGACTGAGAGTAGTGGGAACCATCCTTGCCTCGGGGACGTCACAGTCCTGGTTGTGGATGGGATACAGACAGTCGTGGTCACTGACTGGGAAAACAATTGCGTGAAATCATTCTACAGAAGACACAATGAGTCATGTCACAGCAAACTTCCTCTGGGAGGAACCCCTTGTGGCGAAACCCAGCTGAAGGAGAACAAGGTGATGGTGGCAATTCCACTCGCTTGCCAGATTGTAACAGTGGAGGTTAATCCTGATCTGCATCTTCTGTCAACCATGACAACCAGCAAGGGATACTACAGCATCGCAGTTCTGAATCCTGCCTCCCTAGCAGCAGGTGGTGACGGATGTGTTGATATGCTGGATATGTCAGGACGCGTTTTGAGAAGAGTTGCTACGACTAACAAGGGGAGGTTTGTCTATCCCTTCTTCATGAGTATCAGCAACAGAGGGAACATGCTTGTTTCTGACTGGGGGGAGAGGTCCGTGACGTGTATGACTCCAGATGGGGATGTTGTATGGAGATACGTCCCAACTGACAATATGGCACTCAAACGGCCTCGCGGTATCACAACCACCAGCACTGGAGATGTCCTGCTTGCTGATCTTGATTCTAGCAGAGTAATACAGCTGACAGAGTCGGGAAAGTTTGTCAGAAATCTTCTCACCTTACAGGATGGCATCCCGTGTCCCTCGGGTGTGTACGTGGATAGACATGACTCACTGTTCGTGTGCACCTCTGACGAGATCATGGAACTGAGCTTCACATGAAGTGCCAATATGCAAAGTTCCAAGCAGTATTGAATGGATACTTGTGTTCAAGGACCATAAGAAAACACCTGCAACCTTGACGAACCTTGTGAATACTCTGAAGCAGAAAGATTGTCTCGAGAACCTTAACCTCGGCAAATCAGGCACGTGGGCTGATTGTGCTAGACTGACTGAGTAAGGTTTAACGCGGCTTTTAGCAATATTCTAGGACACCACAAATGGGCTTCACACATTCCATGTGGGGAATCGAACCGGATCTTCGGCGTGACGGGTGACTGCTGTAACCACTAGGCTAAACACTGTAGGCACATGTTTTTTTTTTGGCAATATATGGACTTCATATCTTGCCACTTTCACTTCGACTGCATGTGTTGACCACTTTCAGTTGGATTGCATGTTTCAGCCACTTTTACTTTGACTCAGTGTATTCGATGTACATTTGCTTTTCTCGATGAAGGAACTCTCGATCTATGTCGGTGTTGCACTTTGAATAAAACAGATGAAAAAAATTAAAACGTATTTTCGTTTTGTTTTTGTCCTGCTGTTGGTAATTTTTAAGAAGTATGCGTGAATAATTGTTCATAAAAAACTTCGCGAAGAACAATATGGTAGCGAGTAATATTCCACAACTGGAATCTTAAAACTGGTTTCAGAACATTTAGATCAGAATATAGCATGCAGGTCAGGGGCGGACACATCTTTTTTGATAAAGAGGGGGTGCACGCTATTGAGAAAGGAAGGGTGCACACTCTTGAGAAAGGGAGGGTGCACACTATTGAGAAAGCGGGGGTGCATACCATTGAGAAAGGGAGGGTGCACACTCTTGAGAAAGGGAGGGTGCACACTATTGAAAAAGCGGGGGTGCACACTATTGAGAAAGGGAGGGTGCACACTATTGAGAAAGGGAGGGTGCACACTATTGAGAAAGGGAGGGTGCACACTATTGAGAAAGAGAGGGTGCACACTATTGAGAAAGGGAGGGTGCACACTATTGAGAAAGCGGGGGTGCACACTATTGAGAAAGGGAGGGTGCACACTATTGAGAAAGGGAGGGTGCACACTATTGAGAAAGAGGGGGTGCACACTATTGAGAAAGGGAGGGTGCACATTTCTGTTTCACCCGTTTTCGCGAGAGTTTCAATGGTCATTTAATAAACTTTCAGGACCTGCAACAACATTTAAGAAACATTTGTTCTGTAAAATATATTCATTTTGTAGACTAGGTATTAGTCTTTGACTGGTTCTGACCACCATTGTAATTTTGATTAAAGATAACAAAACAAGATATCGAACAGTAACAATTTATTTCAAAATATAAGTAAATAAATTTGTAAATTTAAATAAATACAGCGAAACACACGGTTGTGTTCTGAAGGTCCATTCATCCGAAGAACCTGAAACGATAACGCATGTAGTTTTAAAAAGAAGCTTACCAAAATACAACTGTCATCGTTTATGTATTATGCATGAGTGTATGGGTACCTTTTCGAACCGGGAATCCCTCATGAAATCTGAACAGTTATAAGTGTTATTACGTTACCAGGCAACGTCCATATCGAACCGTACTTCCGGGTTGTCAAACATATAATTCACTATATACATTCACAGTATATTATCACCTAATGCCCAGGCATACCCTTTCCTGAAGCCAACGTTCATAGCGAACCGTACTTTCGGGTTGTCAAGCATATAAATCACTACATATGTTCACAGTATATTATCACCTAATTCCCAGGCATACCCTTTCCTGAAGCCAACGTCCATATCGAACCGTACTTCCGGGTTGTCAAACATATAATTCACTATATACATTCACAGTATAGTATCACCTAATGCCCAGGCATACCCTTTCCTGAAGCCAACGTCCATATCGAACCGTACTTCCGGGTTGTCAAACATATAATTCACTATATACATTCACAGTATAGTATCACCTAATGCCCAGGCATACCCTTTCCTGAAGCCAACGTTCATATCGAACCGTACTTCCTGGTTGTCAAACATATAATTCACTATATATATTCACAGTATAGTATCACCTAATGCCCAGGCATACCCTTTCCTGAAGCCAACGTTCATATCGAACCGTACTTCCTGGTTGTCAAACATATAATTCACTATATACATTCACAGTATAGTATCACCTAATGCCCAGGCATACCCTTTCCTGAAGCCAACGTTCATATCGAACCGTACTTCCTGGTTGTCAAACATATAATTCACTATATACATTCACAGTATAGTATCACCTAATGCCCAGGCATACCCTTTCCTGAAGCCAACGTCCATATCGAACCGTACTTCCTGGTTGTCAAACATATAATTCACTATATATATTCACAGTATAGTATCACCTTATGCCCAGGCATACCCTTTCCTGAAGCCAACGTCCATATCGAAATTCCATTCCGTCTGTCCTCCACTATCCATTCCACCTCCATCCATTCTTTTATCCCTCCATTATGTCCATCCATTCCACTCTTTTCCTATTTCATTCATCTTCCATTTCCATTTCCCTTCTTCCTTTCTTTCCCTATTTCTCCATTCCATCCATTCCATTATTCCATACTCTTCATCCTTTCCTTCTTTGTCTTCTTTCAGTCCTTCTTTATATTATATTTTGTTGTCCGTGTCCTGTTCCTTCTCCTTGGCTATTTCTTTATTCTCATTACTATCCAGTTATTCCGTGTCCATCCATCCCCTTCATTTCTTTTCTGTCCACTAGTCCTTCATTTATTTCATTATTATCCTTTTCCTTCCTTCTTTTCTGTGTATATTCAGTGTTCATAAGATATGATATATATACTGTGTTTCCATCCATTCTTTGTCCATTCAGTTTCTTTCTTCATCCATGTCTCATGTCTTCCTCCTTTGTGTCGTTGATTCCTTCCTTCCATTCATTCCTATCATTCCATGTGTTCAAGTCTCTTTCTTCCATGTGTGTCCTTAAGTATTTTCTCCATGCCTTTTCTCCTTTCTCGTGTGTCTGTGTCTCGTGGTCCATTTCAGTTATTGTGTCTCTCCATCTCCGTCTTCCTCGTGTCCGTGTCCTCCATCTTTCTGTGTCTCCTTCCTTATTCCTGTGTCCCTCCATTCTACAGTCCGGTCAGTCCTCCTTCCAGTCCATTCAGTCACTCACCCGGTCCACGTGCCGGTCATTACGGGTCCATGCCGGTCCTCCGGTCCTGCCGGTCCACCCGTGTGGTCCTGTGCCTCCACCCACTCACTCACTGGATCCTCACCTCCATGCCAGTCCTTTCCTCCACCATGCCAGTCCATGTCTCCACTGTCTCACCCTCCACTCACCATGTCCGGTCCTCCTTTTTCGGTCACTCCATGCGATCCGGTCCCTGCCACTCACCCCGGTCCTTCCACCTTGTGCCGGTTCGCGTTGTACCTGTCACCCACCCTGCCTCACTCACCCATGCCAGTCACTCACCCTCACCCACCAATGCCACTCACCCACTTCCACTCACCCATGCCAGTCACTCATGCCCTCATCCACCCACTCACTCACCCATGCCAGTCACTCACCCTATCACCCACTCACTCACCCATGCCAGTCCATCACCTATCACCCACTCACTCACCCTGCCAGTATCACCCACCCACTCACTCACCCATGCCAGTCACTCACCCTGTCACCCACTCACTCACCCATGCCAGTCACTCACCCTATCACCCACTCACTCACCCATGCCAGTCACTCACCCTGTCACCCACTCACTCACCCATGCCAGTCACTCACCCTGTCACCCACTCACTCACCCATGCCAGTCAGTCACTCACCCTATCACCCACTCACTCACCCATGCCAGTCACTCACCCTATCACCCACTCACTCACCCATGCCAGTCACTCACCCTATCACCCACTCACTCACCCATGCCAGTCACTCACCCTGTCACCCACTCACTCACCCATGCCAGTCACTCACCCTATCACCCACTCACCCATGCCAGTCACTCACCCTGTCACCCACTCACTCACCCATGCCAGTCACTCACCCTATCACCCACTCACTCACCCATGCCAGTCACTCACCCTATCACCCACTCACTCACCCATGCCAGTCACTCACCCTATCACCCACTCACTCACCCATGCCAGTCACTCTCACCTATCACCCCTCATCACCCACTCACTCACCCATGCCAGTCACTCACCCCTCACCCTGTCACCACCCTACCATGCCCACTCACCACTCACCCATGCCAGTCACTCATCCCATCCCATCACCCCCAGTCACTCATCACTCACCCTCACCCACTCACCCACTCACCCATGCCAGTCACTCATCCTCACCCATGCCAGTCACTCACCCTGTCAACCACCCATGCCAGTCACTCACCCTATCACCCACTCACTCACCCATGCCAGTCACTCACCCTGTCACCCACTCACTCACCCATGCCAATCATTCACTCACTCACTCCGTATGCCGACCGAACCCTCCACATACACGTCGTACAACAAGCCACAACCGTTTACAAAATCTTTTGCAATGTTTTATAGAAATGAGGAATATAATACAAAATCTAGCAACATTAACACATTGCTTTCGCGTATTGATTAAGTGAGAACAACCACTTGTTGTAACATGGATTCCGGCCAGTGTCTTAAGATAGCTGGTTGCGGATACCCCAAGTGAAATAGTCCATGCAGATTTACCTCCCTTTAACTGAGAAGAGAAATTTGATTGTATAAAATGCTCTCAGATCTGAGATGTAACTGTGCAGGGGCGGATACAGCTTTTTGAGAAAGGAGGGGTGCACACTATTGAGAAAGGAGGGGTGCACACTATTGAGAAAGGAGGGGTGCACACTATTGAGAAAGGAGGGGTGCACACTATTGAGAAAGGAGGGGTGCACACTATTGAGAAAGGAGGGATGCACACTATTGAGAAAGGTGGGGTGCACACTTCATTTTCACGAGAGTTTCAATGGTCATTAAATAAACTTTCAGGACAAAAGGGAAGGGGTGCGCACCCCTGCACCCCCCTCTGGATCCGCCTATGCTGTGATAACAGTCACAATGATTTTATTTCTTCCAACACCGCTTAAGTATGAAACTAAAGAATTATAAGTTAAGTTGTAAGTGCAGTTATTCCAAATAAGAAACAAAAAACAGGTTGGGTGCTAGAAAAGAAACTGACGGTCCCAAGGAAATCACCATCTGTTTCTGTTTTCGACTTTGAACAGTTTATCAGTATATGCTTCGATGAAATTTACATGTACATGTAAGAGATTTATAAAGAGATATACATTTTTTTCAAAATAAGTTATTTTTTAGAATACAAGAAATTGTAGAAAGCACTGTTAATACGTACAGAATTTTCAAACGGGTCAACCAGAAATCTCCATTATTGATACATAGTGAGTGTGATATTGAACAACGAGAGGAAGATGGAAGGCGATGACGATATCAAAGACAATTCAATCAAATCCCCAAGCCTGTATACACGATCAATTATGTCGTCTCTTACTACAACGATTCCCCATATGGGTACAAATGT